GAGGGGGTCCATGAGAACCAAGGGGATGAAGCCTTTTTTTTTTTTTTTTAATTTTATTCATTTATTTGAGAGAGAGAGAGAGAGAATGAGAGATAGAAAGCACAAGAGGGAAGGGGGTCAGAGGGAGAAGCTGACTCCCTGCTGAGCAGGAAGCCCGATGTGGGACTCGATCCCGGGACTCCAGGATCATGACCTGAGCCGAAGGCAGTCGCTTAACCAACTGAGCCACCCAGGCGCCCGGGGATGAAGCCTTTGATCAGATCTTGAGGGTGACCATCTATCAAGGGTAGGGATTTTCTCTAGACAGACTCAGCAGGACTCTTGCTGAAACTGGACTCAGCCAGAATGTACATGGAAGCTCAAGGTTGAGGCCTAGTTGAGAGGAGGGCCCAGAGGACCCTGATTGAAATCTGGTCCAGGAGAGCGTCTTGTCAGTAGTTTAATGAGCCCTATGTGGTGGTCCTCTGAGGCATGGAGACCAGCCCAGGTGGCAGCCACTCTTAGCTTACTCATTCACCTGGTCTCTGCATTCATAAATACTCAGGAAACACTCTGAGCTAACATGTTCCCATATGCTGGCGTGGGGTAAGCATTCATTTCTTGGGAGTTTTTAGTCCCTTGTCTTGCCTTGCTGTGTGAAGGGGTCCCGTACGTTTCTGTTTGTAGGGGAGTTAGTGGGGAGGCAGGGAAGAAGAGCAGGCCTCAGATGCTCCACATCAGGCCACAGGAGGCCCTCCCTAAGGGCCCAGGCCCAGCCAGCATGTTACCAGTGGAAGAAACATTATTTAAGACTTGTAAATGAAGCCAGGGAAAAGGACTGCATGTTTTTATGTTGTCACTGTTACATGGGCCATTGTTCAACAGAGTCACCCACGGCTGTTCTGTCTTCCGACCAAATGTAGCTCTCTGACTTTGCTGGTTACTCTTGATTAGAGCCCAGACCCTGATGTTACATGCTAATTTGTAGATTTTTTGTCTTGTAGAGATGCAGATTATTTCTGTCTGATAAAAATAAACCCAAAGGTTTTGATTTCATTCCTTTGTAGGACTTCAACCTGATTCGTCTCCAACTGAAAATAGCTTATTTCAGTCAACTACAGCTCTTCAAAGCCCTCGGAACTAGCTCCCCATCTCGGTGGCTCCCTCGTTAATTTATGTGTGCATGGGTTATGTTTTAGCTTTTGAAAGTTATGCTTTAACACTGTCGTATGCTGGGTGTGCTTTAGGGTGGTCACTGCTATTGCTACCAATTATCTTGCAAACACTGCCCTTTGCACCCCCCCCTTCCATCTGTGGACTGTCCATGAGTCCATTTGTCCCTGTGTCCAGAGGTACTCTGGCCCCTTCCGTCCGTGGCAGACAGGTTGATCTGTCTGCTGAGGCACAGCACTCTTCCTCTCTCTAAGTGTTTGTCAGTTGAAAGGTTGTGAATAAGGGAGCTTTTGGACTTCTCTTTCCCCCTTTTCTGGTAACCCAGGATCTTGGGACTGGTCCAGCTGTATAGAAGGGAGCTTTTCCTAGGAGTGCGGCCCCTTCCAGTGCAGCCCCTTCCAGCTGTGTGCTTGTGTGCCTGCTGGCTCCTCCTCCATAGACTTTCCTGCACTGAATGCTTTGTTTCCCAAACCAGTCTGTCAGCTACTTGCTTCCTACTCTTTCTTTGCCTGCGGTTGGAGTCTGTAAACTTGTTGATTCCTGATTTCTCTTTATACACCTGCCCTTCAATGCCTTCACTTATTCATTCACAAGTACTTACTGGGCCCCTGCCATGCTGGACACAGTGCTGGGTATTGGGGCTATGGCAGAGTGATGTCATTTGCCCTGAGGAGGCCCACATTAATGGAAGTGATTCCCAGATTCCATTTTGGGCAGTAAGACTCCTCCCTAATGAGACATCTGTTTTCTTTCTAAACAACAATTATCTAACTAATGAAAATTGTGTGTATGTGTACATGTATACATACGTATTTGCCATGATCTTTAAAACTACCTTTAAAGAATGAAAAACCTCAGTGGGGTTGACTCTTCAGCAATGTGGAAGTTAGGGGCACCGACCCCTTCACACAGCAAAAAATCCACAAATAACTTGTGACCCCTCAAGAACTTAACAACTAATAGCCTGCTGTTGATGAGAAGCCTTGTTGATAACAGTCGATTGACACAGTTTGTGTGTTACATGTATTATATACCGTATTCTTACAATAAAATCGGCAGGAGAAAAGAAAACGTTATTAAAATCACAAGGAGGAGATAATGCATTTACAGTACTGTACTATATTTATTGAAAAAAATCCACGTATAAGTGGACCCATGCAGTTCAAACCCATGTTGTTCAAGGGTTAACTGTATATGCTCTTAGCAATATTAAAAAAACCTTAAAATTGTTCAGGAAAGGTAAAACCCACAGAACTTACTTTTCTAGGCATTTTGTTGTACAAACACACTGAGTGCATTGAGGGGTGGGTGGCGGGAGCACTGGACGCCTCGAAGTGCCGCAGTACCGGAAGGCATCATCCAGTGTCACAAGTTCCCAGGTCTTCGCTCATCCAAATTTGTTTTTGTAAATGCCATAGAAGAGCACATTGTAACATAGCATTCCTGAAGTAATTTGTGATTCAAAATGTGAGAAATTGGCAGTGTGAAAGAGGAAAAACCAGTACATGTTTAATTATAATAGTGTGCTTTTCACTGCTGGGTGGGAAAGGAGAAAAACATTTGAATAAAATCAAAGCAGAGGCTGAGCTTGACTTCTCCCAAAATAAAGAGGAGAGTGTTTTGAGCAACTCAGTGTTGTCACTTGCAGTTTTAGTAGAAAAATGCTTGAAACAAAAATCCCTTTTTATTGGTGAGGGAAGGCAGCCAACCCAAATGTGGCAGAGCTGCTGCACAAATGGGAACCCACGTCTGTGTGGGAGCTGGGACTGAAGGCAGGTCCTATTTTGCTTCAGCTTTATCTTCACGTGTGTCTGGAGCCAGCCAGGGACTAGCGAGGATGTCCCACTGGCCACTGGTGGGCTTGGTGGGCGGATATCCCCAGGCGCTGACGGTGAGCTCTGTCAGATGCTTGGCACCCACTGGGGAACCTGGGAAAGCAGTGGAGTCTCATCTCACCATAGAGAAACAGTCCGAATCTGGAAGATTTGCCTTTGGTCTGTTCATCATCAGTACACCCTGCAAGCCTGCTTTTTTCAAAGCTAGGCATAGAATAATGGCCTAGATAGAGTTTGTGAAGTCTAAGCATTGTTTTTTTAATCCACTTTGACCCGCCCTTCTTTGTGCTCTTCCATTCTCTCTCCAAACTTGTGCCAAACTACTATGTTGGAATCTCATGAGGAAAACTGGCTTCAGAAATACAACGTCACCTTAGTAAACATAGGATCCATACCCGGGGGCCCAAACTGTAGACCTACCTTAGAGTTGAAATAATCATGTTATGAAGTCCAGTTTCTGCTTCAAAAACTCATACCTTGGTAATGTTCCCAAGGTAAATCCTTTGCTAGTGATAGCTCTACAGTGGTTTGGGGTCTATGGATTTGTGTATTCCATTGTATTTAATAACAAGCAAGATTTCTCTAAAGTTCAACATAAATGTGAAATTTATGTCCACTCCATGTTTATGTATTTTCAATATTAATGGCTTTTAAGTAGATAACTTCAAATTTTTTTAAGGGGCCAGTGTCCATTAACAGGCAGTAAGTTCTTAAAAGATAGTCCTCTGTAAGGGTACCTTTTCTCAGCGTAGTAAATTATTTGCAGTTTGTTCATTTGTGAAATGGAGCTTACAGCTTTTTGCCTGTCAGAGTTTTAAAGCCTGGAGATTTTGTGTCTTGAGTGCCCAGTGCTGTCTGGTGGGAAGCGCACGTACCATGAGGCCAGAGTCCTCATTCACGGATGTGTGTCAGCAGCTGATGGCTGCCTCCCTCAGCCCCAAGCCTGGAGAGGCTTCGTTTGTTCTCCTAGAGCTGTCTGTGTAATAAGGACTGTTTGTTTTTTATCAATGGACATGAAGCCCTGATGAGTCTTAAAACCAAAGTGAAAACCATAGGCCATTAAGATCAAAGACGTCATCATGGAATTTTTTCTGACCAATGACATCTAAAGTACTCTGCTTAGTTTTTTGTTTTTTGTTTTTTGTTTTCAGATTTTGAGTTCTAACTCTGAACTACCATGTTTCTGCATTTCAGAGTGGGCAGTTTTCCATTCAAAGTCAGTCAGTCACCAACTCAGATGTTACAGAAATTGGGCATTGTGAATCTTTATGTATTTTTCTTTTTGATACCTTTATTCAGGTATACTTGATAGATAGTAAACTGTACTTTTTTACAGTGTATAGTTTGACAATGGTTAGCATGTCTTCACCTGTCCAACCATTACCGCAATTGAAGTAGTGAAGATACCCATCACCCCGAAAGTTTCCATTGTATAAATCCCTCCCTCCTGCCTGCCTCACACCAGACCACCGCTGCCTGCTCTCTGGTGCTACTGATCAGCCCCACTCTCAGTGAATTAGAATTTCATACAAATGGGTCCTATTGTATGTACGCCTGTTTGGTCTACCTTTTTTCACTCAGCAAAATTAGTCTGAGAAACATGGATATTGTATGTACCTATATATGTTTTAGGTTTTCAAAATTAACTTCTGAGTTCCTAGATGGGAAATAATACTTCTTTGAAAACTGTTGTCCTGTTTTTTAATTTGGTTGAGAAATCCCTTGAATAAGAGTCTTCATACGAATCTTAGCAGGTTGCTACACTGTGTGGCCCTCGTGAAGGTGGGCTTGGTGACTCATGCTTGGGTAAAGTGCCTCTTTGTCTTCAGTGAAAGCTCTTTGGGCTCCTAACCAGTATGTCATGTTCCATATCTTATTAGTGACTAGAGTGTTTTGCAACTAGAGAGTGAATATTAAATATTGTCTGTGTTTGCTTTAAAAGGTGTATATCCAGTGGTAATGTCATAATTACTAATTTATTTTCCTTTACAGATCCTTTCCAGGAGTTCAGTCATGGGTGTGAGAGGTTTGCAGGGGTTTGTGGGCAGTACCTGCCCACATATATGTACAGTAGTGAATTTCAAAGAACTGGCAGAACACCACCGAAACAAGCATCCTGGATGTACTCCTACCATTGTGGTTGACGCCATGTGTTGTCTCAGATACTGGTATACTCCTGAATCCTGGATCTGCGGTGGCCAGTGGCGGGAATACTTTTCTGCTTTGCGGGATTTTGTTAAGACTTTTACAGCTGTCGGCATCAAGTTGATATTCTTCTTTGATGGCACGGTGGAGCAGGGTAAGAGAGATGAATGGGTGAAACGAAGACTCAAGAACAACAGGGAGATCTCCAGGATTTTCCATTATATCAAGTCACACAAGGAGCAACCAGGCAGAAACATGTTCTTCGTCCCATCAGGGCTGGCCATCTTTACACGATTTGCTTTGAAGACTCTGGGTCAAGAAACCCTGTGTTCCTTACAGGAGGCCGACTATGAGGTGGCATCGTATGGCCTCCAGAATAACTGTCTTGGGATTCTTGGAGAAGACACTGACTACTTAATTTATGATACTTGTCCCTACTTTTCAATTGGTGATCTCTGCCTGGAGAGTCTCAATACTGTCATGCTCTGTAGAGAGAAGCTCTGTGAGAGTCTGGATATCAGCCTGGCAGACCTTCCTCTTCTGGCCTGCCTACTTGGCAATGACATAATCCCAGAGGGCATGTTTGAAAGCTTTCGGTACAAATGCTTATCTTCCTATACCTCTGTAAAGGAGAACTTTGACAAAAAGGGTAATATTATCTTAGCTGTAGCAGACCATATATCTAAAGTTCTTCGCTTACATCAGGGTGAGAAAAAGCTAGAAGAGATGTTACCTTTGGGACCAAACAAAGCTCTTTTTTATAAGGGTGTGGCATCATATCTTTTGCCAGGACAGATATCTCCGTGGTTTTTCCAAAAACCCAAGGGTTTAATAACTTTGGACAAGCAGGTGGTATCCATGAATTCAGACCCTGAATATGAGCAAGAAGTTCCCATGTGTACAGACCCTGAATCCAAGCAAGGAGTTCCCGTGTGTACAGACCCTGAAACCAAGCAAGGAGTTCCCGTGTGTACAGATCCTGAATGCAAGCAAGGAGTTCTCGTGTGTACGGACCCTGAATCAAAGCAAGGAGTTCCCATGTGTACAGACCCTGAATCCAAGCAAGGAGTTCCTGTGTGTATAGATCCTGAATCCAAGCAAGGAGTTCTCGTGTGTACAGACCCCGAATCCAAGCAAGGAGTTCCCATGTGTACAGACCCTGAATCCAAGCAAGGAGTTCCCATGTGTACAGACCCTGAATCCAAGCAAGGAGTTCCCATGTGTACAGACGCTGAATCCAAGCAACGAGTTGCCATGTGTACAGATCCTGAATCCAAGAAAGGAGTTCCCATTTGTATAGATCCGGAATCCAAGCAAGGAATTCCCACACGTACAGACCCTGAATTCAAGCAAGGAGTTCCCATGTGTATAGATCCTGAATCCAAGCAAGGAGTTCCCATTTGTATAGACCCTGAATCCAAGCAAGGAGTTCCCATATGTGTAGATCCTGAATCCAAGCAAGGAGTTCACTCTAAATCTAAGCAAGAAGTTCCCATGTGTACACACACTGAAATCAAGCAAAAGTTACCTCTAGGGGCAGATCCTGAATTTGAGCTAGAAGCACCCATGTGTACAGACCCTGCAGTTAAACAACAAGACCTCATGAATATGGAGCCTGAAGTCAAACAAGTAACCATGGTTTCAGACCCCGAAATCTTAAAGGTACATAGATGTGTCCAGCCAAATCTGGGTGTCATGATTGGGAAAATATATCAATCAATTATTGACTTCTTGTTGTAGTTCAGGCACTGTGGGGGACACACAACAGGATCCTAGCAGTGTAGTTGAGAAGTATGACATATGCATTGGAAGCTCACATTGTAAAGTATGCTTGATATGGGTGCATGCCTGTCGTAAAAGAGAGCTCTTGGAATTTGAAGGAGAGTGATCACTGTGGGTTAAATATAGAGAGACGTTCCTGAAGAGGTAGAAGTAGAGCCAGACCTTCATGGGAGCTGAAATTTATAACAAATAGACAAATATCTGTTGCCTTGGGGCACGAGGTAGAACAGTAGGCTGGAGTACGGGGTCTGAGGGGAGATAACAGGGAGAGAGGTTGGAAAACGTGGAGTGTAGCCAGATTGTGAAGATTATTATATGCCCCACCAGGAGTTGGGACTTAATTCTGAAAGTGACAGAGAGTCCTTGAGGGTTTTTATGGAGTGCTATTTATGAACCACCTATTATGTGTGAGGTTCTGTGCTAGGTGGGTTACGTATACATGTTATCTCTTACCCACAGACCTTCTGTTGTTCCTAACAGGGTCCCCATCTTCCATCCAGCTACACAAGTTACAAACCTGGGAATTCTCTTTCCTGTTTTTTATAACTATTCTCCCCCTGTCTTGTTACTTGTACCTATCCAGTTAGTCTCCCCACCCTAGTGTAAGCTGCCTCTTTTCTGGATAACCCAGTAACTCTTAAACAATTCTTCTGTATAGACTTGTGCCCCTTCCAATCCACTTATCATGCTGCATGCAGAAATAAAGCCCTTTATTTACGTTCATAACTCTTCAAAGAGTAGAAACAGTAACCTTGAGTAGACTACAGCCTGCCAGCACCTCACCACCTCTCTAGCTGGCCAGTCCCTGGTCTATCATGGCCCTCCTGGAAACCTCCCCTGCCCCTGTGCTAGTCTTTTCTGTAAAGCTGGGTGGTCACCCACTCAGAGATGGCCCCTGGCCATCCACTGTGTGGCACCTGCTGTGGTGCACACCTCCCTGGGATTTCGTGCTTGTGACAGTGCTGTGAGGGCAGGATCTTGTTTGTTTTTCTCACTGCTCAGCCCCTTTTGCCTGTCCCGCTGTGTCTCACAGTAGCTGCTCACAAAGTCTTGAAGGCGGTATTCCCTTTCTCTGGTATCTTTAGGGCCTCTCCTTTAGTGACATGACATCTTCCCTCCTTCCTGTACAACTACATACATGGGTTGTCCTGTCTTGAAAAGTCTCTCACCTCTTTCTCTATTACATACATTGTAGCAGATAAGCTAATTTACTAACATAAAAAGTTATAGTCCTAAGTAGGATGTGGTACATACATTAAGAGAGTTACAGGTGAAAAAGTATTAAGGGGTTAAAATTATCCTACCTGGAAGTGTCCTTAAGTGCTTCATAGAAGGAAAAGAATGTGGGTTAAAAATTGGAGGAAGGGCAGAATCAGAGCTCCAGGTGGAAGTGTGGTCAGACAGTAGGAAAGAAGGACGGGGCAGGGGAGGCCAGGTCTCAGCAGAGGACTAGACATCACCTGAACAGACTCAAAGTCAGGAAAATGAACAGAGAAGAGCTAAATCTAACTTTGCTTAAATTTATTTGGTTTTATTATGAGGTTGGATGTAGGAATGCTAGTTTAATATAGACCATGCAGAGATGATTCTCCACTAGTGACCAGAGGGTATTCTTCACCTTATTTCCCTTAATCATCACACAGTTCTGATCCTAGATGTGCTTGCCTCTGTCACCACATGAGGACATGGGTGTGAAAAGGCTAAATGACATTGTCTGCAATCGCACAGCTAGTACTTGCAGAGCCCGGGTTTGAACCCAGGCCTCTGCAAGTTTGACCCTTTATGAGATGACATCTACGTTCCCTGATGGCACGTGGAGGGGTGAGACAGTCATGGTCGGTAGCCTCGAAGCATGAGCATGGAGGAATTTGTCAGGAAGCCACCCTGCTCCTAGACTTATGCCTGGCTTCCAAGGTGGCACATGATATAGGCCTTGGAGCCACTCCCAACAGTTGGCCTGAAGGACAGGACAGGGAAAGACACACAGGCGGAGGAAGAGCAGAGCAAAAGGAGAGCATGAAGGGTGCCTCACTGCCTAGAGGAGGGCAGGGCCTGCTTTTCAGCTGACCCAGGACTCCAGTCTAGCATGAGGCAGCATCACCCACCAGCATGCACAGTACCACTCTGGGCCCTCTGCTTTTTCTGTTTTGACCTGGCCCCCAACTGGTTCCCAACTCACACCCGTTTCCCATTGGTGTATGGCCTTGCACATGTCCTCTCTGGGCTTGGGCTCTTCACAAACCCTGACTTGCATTCGCCACACCAATAGGACCCATCCTAGGCCTTTGCTCTTTTACTGGACACCCTGGTCATCTCACCCAATTTCCTGCAAAGAGTTCCGACAGATTGGGTGACACCACAGAGGGCAGCATGTGTATCATGAAAGAATTTAGGACTTAGTTTTTATACACATTGAGAAGGTATTAGATATCTTTAAGTAGGGGTGTGATGTGATCAGGTATTTGTTTTTTGAAACATTGGTTATACTGCAGAGAATGGACTAATGTGGCTGTTGCAGAAACCAAGGTGGAAGACAAAAGAGCTAGAATTAAGACAATGGCAAAGGGGAGGAAGAAACATTGAAAAGTAAGTCTTGCTGTGGAGGTAGGGGTCCTCCTGTGCTCTGGGATGGGTGTTGCCATGACTTAAGGATGGGCGAGGAAAGGTTTGACACAGAGGATAGCTAGGGAAGACCATCTGATGCTTAGAAAACAGGCCTCAAGTCCATTACTCGGCAGGAGACAGACATCTGGAAGTCATCCAACTGTACGTGGTAATGGAAACCCTCCAAGGAGAGGATTGAGCCTTCTGAAAACATGCCCTGAGAGAGGGCTGGTCAGACAGGGAGGGGAATGAGGAGCGGTGACCCCAGCAGAAACCCAAGGAGGCAGGTTTCAAGAATGAGAGGAGCAATAGCGAGGACCGTCAGGTGCTGCAGAGTAAAGTAGAATTGGGGCTAGGTGGCTGTTAGGAGGGTTTCATGGCCTGAGAGAGCCACTGTCGCACAGGGGCCTGGTGGAAGTCAGATGGCCAGGGTTTGAGGAGTACCTTGGAGGCAAAGGCTGGAGCTGGGGAGTGCTTGCTCCTTCAGGAAGTTTGGCAGTGGAAGAGCCTTGGATGGGGAAGAGGGGAGAGGAGTGGTGGGAGGCCTGCCTGCAGGGGAAGTTGGGCCGTTGTGGAAGGACAGATCACATGTTGTCCACACTGTGACTCTCCCGTTGGTTGGACTTGATGATATCTTTGAAAACAATTGCATGAAGTGCCTTCGGTTCCCCTTACATTTTCCCTTAAAATTTGTTTGCAGTGGAGTCTTCTATCCCTATCAAATAGGTAACCCCAATTCCAACGTGTATGTATTTCAACCCCACATAGTCCCTTAGAAACCCTTAGGTAGAAGGCTGTAGCACACAGCAGTTATTCTGGGCACATACCACAGCCAGATATCTATGTTTTCTCCATAACAGAATATTTTGGAAAATCAGTTAAATTTTAAGCATAAATTATTTGGTTCCATAATGTTGGATAAACTGAATTATTATGTTAGAATTTTAGATTAGGTGAATATGTTAAGGTTTTTCCAAGTGTAGAGTGCTATATAGATCTATAGTTAAGAGCAGAGGTAGAAGGTGCTTATTAAATGATTCTGATCCAATTAGTGAATTAAAATTCTAATTGTAAAGAACTTACCCGAAAAACCATGTATACACCCAGAAAACACATCAAATTCTGTACAGTTGCCAAAATTGAAGATTTCTTGGTAGGGCGAATATAATTTATTATAACTTTCTAGATAGATTTGTTAAAATACCATCTGTCTTGAAATGAAAAAGACTCAGGTATGGAAGAGGGAATAGGAGAATAAGTCAAGCTATTTTGCCTCAAAAGGATCATAAAAAACATAACTATGATGTTTCTGATGGATTCGGTATCAAAAGGGGCACATAGAGAAATAGTTCACTTTGCAATGATCTTCCATTAGAGTATCAAATAACAGTCCTTTAAAAAATATTTTTTAACCTTACTGGCCTTAAAGTTGCTAGCTTGTCTGCCATCCTGGTTTCAAGACATTTCATCAAGGAGATAGACATTTTATAACGTGTAGGCTTGTGACAGTGGCGACACTGGGGAACCATGCACTGTGTGCCAGGCCTCATGTGCAGAGCTCTCATTAACCGTTGCGTTGACCCATTTAATCCTCAGGATAGTTCTGTGAGGTTGGCACTTTTATTAAACCTACTTTATATCTGAAGAAAGGGAGAAATAGAGTAAGACTCAATTCTACAGAAATGAATCAAAATAACTAGAACTACTTAAAAGTATATATAAATAGAACACCGATTTACAGAGTTTTTGACATTCCAGGTTGTCCTAACACCACATTTTTTTTTATTATGTTATGTTAGTCACCATACATTACATCATTAGTTTTTGATGTAGTGATCCACGATTCATTATTTTCGTATAACACCCAGTGCTCCATGCAGAGTGTGCCCTCTTTAATACCCATCACTGGGCTAAACCATTCCCCCACCCCCTCCCCTCTAGAACCCTCAGTTTGTTTCTCAGAGTCCATAGTCTCTCCTGGTTCGTCTTCCCCTCTGATCCGCCCCCCCTTCATTTTTCCCTTCCTTCTCCTAATATCCTCCATGCTATTCCTTATGTTCCACAAATAAGTGAAACCATATGATAATTGACTTTCTCTGCTTGACTTATTTCACTTAGCATCAGCTCCTCCAGTCCCATCCATGTTGATGTAAAAGTTGGGTATTCATCCTTTCTGATGGCTGAGTAATCTTCCATTGTATATATGGACCACATCTTCTTTATCCATTCATCTGTTGAAGGGCATCTCGGCTCTTTCCGCAGTTTGGCTATTGCGGACATTGCTGCTATGAACATTGGGGTTCAGGTGCCCCTTCTTTTCACTACATCTGTGTCTTTGGGGTAAATACCCAGGAGTGCAATTGCTGAGTCATGGGGTAGTTCTATTTTTAATTTTTTGAGGCACCTCCACACTGTTTTACAAAGTGGCCATACCAACTTGCATTCCCACCAAGAGTAACACCACATTTTTTTTTTTTAAAGATTTTATTTATTTATTTGACACAGAGAGAAGGAGATAGAGCACAAGCGGGGAAGCGGCAGGCAGGCAGAGGGAGAGGGAGAAGCAGGCTCTCCGCTGAGCAAGGAGCCCGATGTGGGACCCGATCCGAGGACCCTGGGATCATGACCTGAGCCAAAGGCAGCCGCTTAACCGACTGAGCCACCCAGGCGCCCCAGTAACACCACATTTTAAATGCCTTTTGTGGCAGACTGTTTGGATTGAATTTTGAGTAGTAATCTGGGTAAATCACTTCCTACACTAATAAGAATGTTCTTCACAGAAAAAATAAAACCTGTATGTAGGTTATTATAGGCCTCTGATCTTAGCTTTTTTTTTTTTTTTTAAGATTTTATTTATTTATTTGAGAGAGAGAGCATAAAGCAGGCAGAGGGAGAGGGAGAAGCAGACTCCCCGCTGAGCAGGAAGCCCGATGCACAGGACTTGATCCCAGAACCCCGGAGATCATGACCTGAGCCGAAGGCAGAAGCTTAACTGAGCCACCCAGGTGTCCCTTAGCTCCTCTTTCTAAGGAGAAAGTGGAATGCTGCTCTGTGTCTCATCACCTACCTTGTGCCAACATTGCTGGTTGCAAGGCAGAAACGGGGTGTGCAGCACATGTGTTTTGCTCAATAAGGAATTACTGAACAGGTGAATGTGACACAGATTCTGATCCCAGGGAAGTTTAGTTGACTAGGGGAGATCAGACAAGATAACTAGGGTAAATGTGGGATGAGCCCCATTAGGCGAGGGGAGGTGAGTTCTGGTTGGGAGCAGAAGACAGGGTGGGTGGTAAACCCTAACGAGAGAGGAGCTTATGAAGTGGGAGGGTAGGAAGGCCCTAAGGGGGTACATTTCCTGGAACCCAAGTGAAGATGGAGAAGGTTCGAGTGTTCCTGAGGAACAGTGAAGGTGTACTATTGTGACTGGTTTCTGTGAAGTGGATTGGTATCATGGGAAGAGCACATTGGGGCCTTGAATGTTAGGGTGAAGATTGTGGTAGTCATTCAGATGCTTTGAGGAGGGCAGTGACTGGACCTATTTCTAAGAAGACAGGATGTTGATGCTGTGGAGGGTGGGTTGGAGAGGGGAGAAGTGGGCTAGGTTCAGTCAGAGTCTTTCACAGTGATGCTTATCATCAGGTAGACAAAATTCTGAGATGCCGCAGAAGTCAGTGTGGTAAGTCTGGTAGGCGGTTGGAGATTGGAGGTGCAGGAGTAATTGACAGTTTGGAGCCTAGAAATGCCAAGGAAAGGAAACAATGCCAGCCCGATGTGATGAGTTTGAGGGACCATCACTCCATTTCTGAGTGCCTAAAAACCCTGGCATGGGATAAAAAGGGTTGGTTTTTTCTTGACGGTTACTGTTTTGTTTTCAAGGAGAAAGCAATTGTATTTGAATTTTGCACAGGTTGCTCGAGCACAGCACGTCCAGGCAGAGAGCTACCTGGTGTACAACATCATGAGCAGCGGAGAGATTGAGTGCAGTAACACGTTGGAGGACGCCCTTGACCAAGCTCTGCCCAGCCAGGCTTTTGTTTACCGCCCAGTGCGGCAGCGCGTTTACTCCCTCTTACTGGGGGACGGCAGAGGTGAGCTTGTTGGTCTCTCTTAGCAACAGTGCTATTTGGAGTTGGATTCTGAGAAACAAACCAAATGAAGTAGAATACATTCTTTCAGGACACGGATACAATTAAAAAGGGTTTTGTTTCTCTGTAAAATCTGTAATTGAGAATACCACTCACATCTGTACAAGATTAAGGGTAAACGCCGTGGGACATCTCTATCTAATTAGCAAACAGTTGATCAGTATTCATTAAAAGAAGAGTGCATTGTTTTTATAAAATGTTATACTTTTATTCCTTAAAAGGATTTGTGTTTTCTGAAAAATGTGAAAACCCTTTCCTTCTGCAGGAGTGTAGGGTATGTTTGTTATTAGAAGACAATGTCTACTTATTCTTCTTCCAAATGTGATTTTCATAAAATAATTCCATAAAATCTAGTACATCATATTTTAAAGTATAAACAAAATTTTCCTTTAGAGCGTTTGTATTTAGGTTTTTCCCATCTATATTTTCCTTGTGCAATAATAGCAAGCATGTAGGGAGAGGACTGTCAATGGCCAGAGCAGGAAAGTTGGGGGGCCTTCATCACCAGTTGGAAAATTAATTAGGCCCTGCTGTTCTCTTTTCAGGGGAGTTGGGGGGCATTGAGGGTAGAGAAGAGCACTTCGTAGTAGAGACTAGGGATGCTTCACACATGCAGATACCTCTTAGGTGAGGTCCTGCTCACCTGCGACTAGCGTCCTGGGACACTGGTCTGACTTGAGAGCGCTTTAATGAGAAACAGGGCTGTGCACACTGTGTTTGGGACGGAGATAGAAGCAGTAAGGTCCCGATGAAAGGGTGTCTGCGGTCCTTTTGCCTAAACTCCATTATTTCCAGACGTACCAATATTGGTATTAAGATCACTCTGTTATTCCGGAAAGTAAGCGTTTCATAACCTACAGGTGGTGATAGAATCCTCCAGTTAAAATGCTGTCATGATTCTTTGCTTTGGCAGGGTGTGGAGTGGCAAGGTTCTTTGAATACAATTTTTGTTGGATTCTCAGCATATACTGCCTTTCCCCCCATGTGCTGTCAGAATCCAGAGGCTTATGTGCTCTAAGGAAGACATGAGAAAGATGTTTACACTAATTGAAAAACAGAAACAAAAGAACCTATGGAATAAACTTTGGGACCAGATAGTATTTAAATAATTTTTTTCTATTTCTTTTTCTTATGTGGTTCTCTCTCCATATTCTTTCTTAACACAAGTGATTTCACGTTGATTCTAATGATTAAAAAAAAGACATCTTAATCATGAAAACAATTTTACATTGTATAGTATTTGCCTGGAATTGTTTTTATTTTTTATTTTTTAAATTTTTTTAAAAGATTTTATTTATTTGAGAGAGAGATAGAGAGAGCATGAGTGGGGGTGGGGGAGAGGGAGAAGCAGGCTCCCCACTGAGCAAGGAGCCCCATGTGGGATTCGATCCCAGGACCCCGGGATCATGAACTGAGCTAAAGGCAGACGCTTCACCAACTGAGCCACCCAGGCGCCCCTGCCTGGAATTGTTTTTAGAGTAGCTTATTAAATGAAGTCCAAATATATGAACTTTACTAACTTAAATTTCGTACTTTGTTAATGCAGATTATTTACAGCCATATTGGTAAGTTGATTACTTAACCACAATAACAGGAATAATTACTCAAATTGAACTTGTCTTCACAATTGATCTTTACTCTCTTCTTTTTCAATTTTTTGGCTTTCTCCATGAAGTTTACATTTTTAGGATGTGAACATAAAATGCTGCTATTGCTGGTTTACTTGTGGTGGTAATGAGGCATATTTTGCGTTGCTTGCTTGGCTTAGCTTATGATCCATGTGTCCTTGAAAATGATGTATGTTTACAGTTGCTGTTCTAACGTGGCAGTTGGGTTGACAGGGCTGTTCAAGTCTTCTCCCCATCTCCTTTTGACTTGTAATTAGTTCTTGAGAGAAGAGTGTTGAAGTCTGCAGGTGCTCTTGTGGATGTTTTTATTTATTCCCTCAGTTCTGTTAGTTTGTGCTTCAGATATTTTTGAAGTTCCACTGTTAGGTGCATATACATTGAAAATTGTTCTGTTTCTTAATGAGTTGACCCTTTTAACATTATGAAATTTCCCTTTAAAAAAAAATCTGGTGATAGTCCTCGTCTTGAAGTTGGCCTTGTCTGACACTAACATATGCACTCCAGTTTTCTTAAGATTAGTGTTTGCATTGTGTATCTTTCTTCTGTCCTTTTACTTTTAACTATTTCTTTATACTTAATGTACATCTCTTTTAAGCAGCATATCCAGTTTGACCATCTTTCTTTTATTTTTTTCTTTTATTTAATTAATTTTTTTTCTCAAGCCCCCAGTGTAGGGCTTGAACTCAACTACCCTGAGATCAAGACCTGAGCTGAGATCAAGAGTCAGACTCTTAACCAGCTGAGCCACCGAGGCGTCCCTGATAATCTTTCTTTTAATTAGTCTTTAGATTACTTACATTCAATGTAATTATTGACATGATTGGGTTTAAGTCTTTCATTTTGCCCTTTGCTCTGTTTTTTTCCCTTATTTTCTCCTTTTCTGACTTCTTTTGGACTAATTGACTAATTCTTAGTATTTTGTTTTATGTCCTCTTTTGGATTATTAGATTTACCTGTGTTTTTTTTTTTTTTTAGTGGTTCCTCGAGGGTTAATAATGTACATCTTCAAGTTACCACAATTTGCCTTCAAATAGTATTATAACCACATTGTGTGTGATGCATTGTAGCTGCGAACTTTCATTTTCCCATCATTTTTGCTATTGTTGTGTGTTTTTTAAACTTTTAATTTTGAAGTAATTACACACTCATGGGAGTTGCAAAAACAGTCCATAGGCTTTCCTGTACCCTTGCCCCAGGCCCCCACACAGACGACGTCTTGGGTCATAAAATACAGTGTCAGAGCCATAAATTAACATTAGTGCAGTTTTATTAACTAGATTACGGCTCTTGATCAGCTTCATCATTTTCTGCATTCACTCATTTATTTGTGTGTGTGTGTGTAGTTTTATGTATTCTGTTCGATGTCAGGATACAGAATTGGTCCATCCCCACGAAGGAGCTCTCTCATGCTGCCCCTTTGTGTTCTGCCCTCCGGCCTGTCCCCTGTTCCCTACTAGTTTGTCCTCGATCTCTGTACCTTGATTTCTGCAAATATGTTACATACATGTTTGGTCATGTCAAGAACGTTACATACGTGTAATCTTTTGATATTATGCATATGTTTTTAAATCCCATAATATGATTCTTATTTTTACTTGAAACCAGGGGCTGGCAAACTTTTTCTGTGAAGGGCCAGATGATAATAAATATTTTAGGCTTTGAGGGCCCCTCTTGTCTATGTAACAAGTACACTCTGCTGTTGCAGTGTAGACACGTCTGTGTCTGTCACAGGAGCGAGGCTGTGTCTCAGTAAAGCTTAATTTCCTTTTCCCATGTCACAATTCCCATGAATTTTATATAATCCTCCTGTGTCACAGAATATTCTTTTGATAATTTTCTAATCATTTAAAATAACGTGAAAAGCATTCTGGCTTTCAGACTGTATAGCACAAGAAAGTCAGACTTGGCCCATTGGATATCATTTTCCAACCATTAATTTAACCAATCAGCTGCCTTTTAGAGGAGTTTACAAATGAGAAGTCTTTGGAGTGCACCATTGCTGGCGCTCTCCATTTCTTTGTGTAGATCCAAATGTCCTTTGGTATCATCTTTCTTCATTTAGAGAACTTGCTTTTACGTTTCTTATGGTGCTCATTTTATTTCCTGATTTTTTTTCCCTGAAAATATCTTTATTTCAGAAGTGTAATTTTGCTGTATATAGAATTTTAGGTGTTTTTATTTTTTGTTCAGCACTGTAAAGATGTTGTTATGTTGTCTCTAGCTTGTATTGGCTGTCACGTGGTGACCGTGGTCCTTCTTACTGTTGTTCCCCATCTGTAACAAGTGTTTTTCCCTCCAGCTGTCCATAAGGTTTTTCTCTTGAGCACTGGTTTTTAGTAATTTGTTTAAGCTGATCTTTGGAGTGATATACTCAATGTTTATTCTGCTTGGGATTCCTAAGCTTCTTGGACCAATGAGTTTACATTTCCTATCAAATTTGGGGAAAAAGTGAATTTTATTTCATCAAACATTGTCTCCTCTCTCTATTGCTTTCCCCTCTCACTCTGGGCCTCCCAGTTCCATGCTTGATTTATTGCTCATGGTGCCCATTATGCACCCTGGCTTGCTTTGAGCCTCTTTTCTCTGTGCTTCAGTTTGGGTAGTTCCTGTTGCTCTTATTTCAAGTTTATTGAACCTTTCTTCTGCAACATCTAATCTGCTATTAACCCATCCAGTGAAATGTTCGTTTTAGATATTGTGTTTTTCAGCTGTTTTTTTTTTTTTTTTTTAATCTTCCATCCCCTGCCCCCATCTTCATGTTTGCCTTTAAATCCTTAAATTTATGCACAGGACCTGTTTTCAAGTTCTTGTCCACTAATTCCATCAGCTCCATCATTTCTGGGCTTGTGTCTGTTGATTGACTTTTTCTTCTTGTAAGGGGGCCATGTGTTTCTGCTTATTATCCTTATGTATTTCTGCTTATTTCCATGTCCACTGTGTTTTGATTGTAGCCTAGAAGATTTTGGATCTGTGAAGGGTATTGACTTGTGTTCTATCAGGCACCAAAATTTACCAGATCCTTTCAGGGCTTGCCTTAAGCTTTATTAGACTTAGTCTGAGAGGACTTTCACTCTAGAGCTGGAATGGCCCTGCTCCCGAGGCTTGGCCTTCCTGGGCTGTCCCCTCAGTGCTAGGTGTCTAATGAGGGTCTCTGCACATTGGCTGGTAGGACTCTGATGTTGTGGAGCTCTGTAGGGTCCGCTGGTTGCTCGGTGGGGCTGGTCTGTAGTTGTCCTGTCCAGCCTCCCTGAGTTTTGCCCTGGACATGTTAGAGCTCAGTTCTCAACTAGGACCTCAAGGGCACCTCTGTGCAGA